ATATTGTACATGCGAGGTACGACTATCGCTTCCGAACATGCTCTGAATATTACCGAATGCTCGAGATTAGCATAACCCATTGTATGAAGGTGTTAAAAGCTAACAAGAACAATGTTTGTGAACAAACATTGACATGGATTAAAGCTAAAACAATAGCGTCGTGGCTCCTTTCGTTAGTACCTTCCATGCTTTAAGTTAGTATAACACAAGCTTGCCTGCTTTTAAAACTGCCACATGTCTAGATTTAGCGGAGTAATCTGTCTAAAAAATTTGGTTCATATTAGTAACTTAGGTAAATACTACAAAGGAATCAGTTGATGGCAATGATACTCCTCGTAAAAATGATTGTGTGATGTTTGTGGGACTACTTTATTGCATGTGTCAGAATACCTACTTTTGTAACGGTGTTATATGTCACCTGATCACCCGAGTGTATTGATATGTAAAAAGTAGTGCCGTTGGGGTACCTGAAAATGGCGGAATAAACAAGAAGTTAAGTTTGAAAGCTCTCTGGTTTCTTTGATGTTTTGTGTGTTCCTGAGTCATGTTTTGTGTGTTCCTGTGTCAACACATCACAGATTGTCTTCAATGAAAAGGCAAAACTAGCTGATAGTTATTTTGTAAGTTATCGTAAGTTATGCTGAACTGTACTGTATGTTTTATTCAAATGATCCGGCATACAATAAATGCTATCATCCGTTTATGTGCACTTTTATGAGACATTCACCTCTAAATAGAACATCACGTCAATAACACTGACTAGTTTATGTTTATATTTTATTATGAAATTCATAATAAGATTATAGGAAAATGCACCACTTTTTCCAAAAGTACCAACACTTAACAAATGCCTGTTGTTTTCAGGTTTATCCTGACCTTGGTGCTCGCTGTGGGGATTCATATAAAATGGTGTTTGTTGTCAACAGTGAGTTAAACATGGGCATCGGCAAATCAGCTGCACAGGTGGGACATGCGTCTATTGCATTGTATCGAATTCTCCTACGAGAGCAATCAACATTTGCAGAGATGCTATTTAACTGGGAAGACAGTGGGTATGTACGCATGATATTTTGATGTTTACATTATTTAAAATTCACTATAATACTGTATTTGTACAATTAGTAACATATACCACTGCTTACACGACAGACATACGTTTTGAGATATGCTTCTAATGAAATTATGGTACAAATTTAAAGTTAAAAATATTTGCTTCAAACTGGAGAGAAAGTATTTGTTCATTAAAATATTGATTACCGACCTTACTTTTAATTTATCATTTCCAGGGAAACCAAAATAGTAGTAAGTGGTGAAAATGCACAACATTTAACAGTTTTGCAGGAAAAGGCACTTTCACTTGGTTTACCACAATATTTGGTTCGAGATGCTGGTAAAACTCAGGTATGTCCGTGCTCATTATAACTGACCTTGCAATACTACATTATTATTATCTGACACTTTATATCAAATATATATATTCATTAGCCTTGCTGATAACTTAGTATTGCGCTCATGTAAATTATGTTAATTTTTATTTACAGATACCAAGTGGCTCTGTCACAGTGTTAGTTATGATGGGATTGACCAGTAAGGTTGACACAATAACAGGAGACCTTAAATTACTGTAGTCGATGGTTGGTGGCGATATTATATTGCTTTTTATTCATAATGCATGTATGACTTGTCAGCAGCACAGGATTTTATCTGGTGACACGGTTATATGTATTTCCCATTGCACTCAGATCTAATTAACATATGTGTACTTTCATTGTATCACAATAGTGTTGCTATCTCACTATCAGAATACAGTGTCGCCATACTCCATTATAGCATGCTTAACTGTATGACATAATCATGGCATTATGGTCTGTCATTTAACAAAATTATTTGTTTATGGTTTCTAAATCTTTGACAATTTTCAACATTCAAGGATAAGTTGAAACAACAACAAATCCATCACTACCTATTTGCATAAAATGTGCAATTCCACCCTGAGAATACATAGGAATTGGTTCTCAGTTTTTTTATCAGAGTCTTAAGAACAAGCTGTCGCTCAGCTTTTTCATATTGACATTTCAATATCTGTTGGTGGTAATGTGAAAAAGAGTGGATTATGTGACTAAACATTTGTGGTGATAATTCATTGATTACCAAATTGAGGATCATAATTGAAAGATACTTGATGTATTTTATTAAATTGCATGTAATTAAACTGGCATCTACATGAGTAATAACTTAATAAATTCATATTAGGGGGAGGTGGTCCTATATTAATTAAACAAATGATATATTCTACACATTTTAGAGGTCACTTGTTCATGTATGCGCATGTTTTTTTAATGTCATATTGCTTCTGAATGTACTATATTTTATTTTAATCGAAATTGAGTCATTATTGATATTTACTGTTTGAGGAAATGGTATCCTAACTGTTTTAGGAAGAAACAGAGATCTACAAAAAAAATTGCTAGAAATGGGATATGTCTATTGATATGTGTAAAATATATGCTGCCAAACTTGCTATATCATTTGATGGTTTGGAAGAGGGGCTCATGGCAATCAAATCATGATGAAAATAAGTTTATCCAATTTGATTATGGAATGCTCTTTTTTCGTCCCCCATTTGTTTCCTAAGATCTCTTTTGGTCTGTCCCTTTAATTTCCATGCTTCTTATCAAATGGTGCTACTATCTCACAAAATTAGGGTTGAGCATTAAAAAAAGTCTGGGATCAAAGATGGTAGATTCCCTATATAAATTATTTTTTAATTTAAATTAGTTTTTAGCTAAATTTTGTTTTGCTTTATATAATATTCAAAAATGCGTTTTTATAAATGTTTAGATTTTTCGCTGTGCATAATTTGACTTTATGAAATAAAGTTTGAATTACAGTCAGTTGAAATAGATTCAACAAAGTTGAAGAAATATATGGTTTAAAGGTAGTTTTCTATCATAAAAATAATATACTCAGACATCCTTGAGGGGCTGAGTTACTAAAATGTTCAAAATTCTGAAATAAAAATATATCGTCACTCAACTAAGTTTTCCACAAAGCAACCTTGAAAATGATCAAAAATGTGCGTTTTGAGTTGTTTACAATTGGTTCCTATGGCAGAAACATTCCAACATTCCATCATATCTCATAATTTTTGTTTGGTGACGTATGTTAAAATATTGTATGTATATATATATATATATATATATATATCAGTTCTTTTTATTTAGATCATGGCAATTTTTTGGTCAGAGCGCCCTCTAGTTTTGTGGAGAATCATGTTCATTTGGAATGCTCTGATTGGATGGAAGTTCAAGCCTAGCAAGGTGTGATAGAATTGGCCTGTTATGTTCAGATTCAAATAAGCATGAACCACTAATTTGACAGGGAAGTGATACTTATAATGCAGCAAGCTGTTCTAATTGCTGTTGTGGTAGAGTTTTTCTATTTTCCTGTCAAATGCATTTATTGGTCCACTGAAAAATGAAAATAATGTTCCCTGTAACTTAGACTCTTATTGATCAAGGCATTTTAAAAATCATGGGTGTTAACTCCCCTCAAGTTATGACCCGTTGTCCCCTACAGAATAATGGTTGCATCTAATATTAAAATAAAGATGGCGGAGTATAGCGTTGATTCATCTCGTTCTACTCTGGATTACTTGGAGTCAATAAAGATCCTAGAAAGTTAGTATTTATATGCCTGTGTGTTTTTTGTTTGTTTGTTTTTTCACTGTCTTTGACTTTCCCAGTATGTTTGTTGCTGTTGACAACAATTCAGTCCTCTGCCAGGCTTCAGTCAATGTTTTTCTTCACTACCTACCCAACTCCTCGTCGGGCACTATGTAGCTGGTGTGGTATATTTATCACAGACAGTAGGGCA